TACCATACTGTGTTACATTTTAAACCATAAAAACTCCTCTTTGGACATCTTCTGCCAAACTAGTAGGGTCTAATCTGACCTTTGGACCTGTCTTCAAGCAGGAGGTATTGTTTCATCAAAAGGGGATTACCTTCAGCCGGCCATACTATGGTTTTCCATTTGTTCCGTAGCTAAGGCTTGGTGTCTCAAAGCTTGTTTTCATTTCAATCTCGCTTATAGTTTCCATATTCTCAAAATCTTTTGCCAGGCAATCATATTTATACGGCTTTCCTTTTTCCTCTTCCCAGCATCTGCTTCTTTTCATTTTCACCACCCTTGCCCTGAAGTTGGGGAACCAGAATGGTTTGTCGCAGCCAACCTCATTGAGACCCTTGGCGCCCGAACCTTGCGACCCTGATACTCAGTCATGTCAGCTGAGGTAAGCTGATGGATAGGCCAGCGCTCCCCGGGATTTTTGATTGTACTGGGCCCGAAGATTCATCATTGCTTCAAGGGACCTTGGCCAGGATCCACAGAGACAACGACGGTCTCACCTGCGTAGGATTGCAGGTGGGTTTGTGGAAATGCAGGACAATTATCACCCATTTTGCCACTGTGTTTTTACAATACGCATCCACATCCCATAATTGATTTGAAGTGTTCCAGTGGCTGTTCCACCTGAGGTGGAGAACGAGAAAAATGGACAGCCGGATTCCCAAAGTAGAAAGGAGCATACAGGGATGCTTTAAGTTAATTCTCACGGATCATGCCCAAATATATTAAAAGAACAAATTAAAATCAATCGTGAAGTGGATTATTAAATTTTTTCCAGATGCCCTTGAGCCTGACAATCCTCCCTCCATCTTGGTTCCTCCACTTCCTGCTACCACAACCTTCTCTTCTGCCCTGAATGAACCTCCAGACTCCATCCCCAGAACTGTGGGTCATGCCCCACTGTCAATCATTCCACCTCCACCCTGGGCCATGCCTCCAGAAGGCCAGCCTAGTTGTCTGCTATCCTAGATCAAGGCCCTTCCTCCCCAACACCTGACAAAATGGCAGTGCCCTTTGCCTCTGCCTCCAGCAACAATATAACCCCAGGATCAAAGATACTAAACCTCACTGTCACACTACTTCCAATCTGAATGTTTCTGCTGAGTTAATCTTCCTCCCAAGAGGACAGTTTGGACTCTTCAGAGCCACCTCACCCCTCAACCCCAGAAGATCCCTGGGAAAAGAAGAAGACTGGCAAATTGTCTCAAAATTCCTCATTGCCCTGGTATGTTATGAAAGTAGGGGTCAGAATCCCAGCTATCAGCCATTGGTTTACAAGGAAATCAAGGATCTGTGTAGGGCAGGTAAAGACCATAGAAAAGACTTACCTTGTTTTAATGGACAAATGAGGGCCATGTTTACAGCATGCCTTAACTGCCTATGATTTAAAATATATTATGACCATGTTGTTGTCACCTACGGAATACACCCTGTGGGAAGGGGGATGGAAGTGTTTACTAAATCAATTAATAGCAGACTATGCTAATAATGAGGCAAGAGTAGAATTGACAATCAACCATCTAGCTGGAGAAGGACAACGCAGCCTACCATATGATAAAGCAGCAAGTATCCTCAGAGAAGTATTGGATGATATCAAAGAGATGGCTTTGAAAGCTTCAATCCAGGTATTGGATGGTAGCATCCCCAGTGTGGACTACATTGGGTGGCTGCAGCTAAAGCTTTAGGACAATTAGACCATCTTGGGTGCCTGTTAAGTAAGCAAACCAATGCTACCTCCCTCACATTGAGTGGTCTGCTCTCAGACATAGAGACCATCAGACATGCCACCTTGCAGAACAGTGATAAAGTTTTTACTCTGGGCACATGGGCATAGCTGTGTAGACTCTGAGGGTATGTGTTGCATGAACCTCTCCAGCCACAGCGAGTCAATCCACAAGAGCATTCAGGTACTGAAGGAAGAGTTCAAGAAGCTTCAAGGGGAAAACAAAGACTCGTTCAAAAATCTCTTCCAATGCAAGGGACTAAAGGGTTGGATGATGTCTAGCTAAAACAGAACATTTAACTCTCTTAGTGGTTGTTCTTGTATTGTTAATTTTCCCATCTTTATTTGGATGCTTTTTGAAAGTCTTAAAAAATTCCTTCAGTTGCATCTTTGTTGTAAAACAGAAAGGGGGAAGATGATACCCAACACAGGCTCCTCATGGACTCCTTGGAGGAGAGAATTGAAGGCCAGGAAGGCACAAAAACTTCTTAGAGACTCAGTGTGGGAAGGAAAATCCTTAAAAGTACCTGAAAGTATTCCTAAATCCATAAACTACCTTAAAAAGCTTAAGTATCTCTAGGCATTAAAGAGCCCCACTGAGTGTCAGTACAAAGCTCTCAAGGGACTAGTTAAAGCAGATATTTGGGGCCATGATTGCACAAACCTCTCACAGAGTCAGTATCAAAAGGGAAGCACCAAGTACCTTAAAATAACTGAAGTAACTTGAAGCATTAAGGAGCCTCACTGAGTGCTGTTACTGACAAAGACTCTCCAGGGAGTAATTAAAACAGGTAATTGGAGGTCTAGGATTGCACAAAGCTCTCTAAGATTCCAAGGCAAAAGCCAAAGTCCTTTCAAAAATCTGCAGTCCCTGGGAGCATTAAGGAGCCCCCAGGGCCATTGCTGAGCAAGGCTCCCCAGGGAATCCTTCCAGCAGATCCTTGAGGCCACTGGGAAGTGGGCTGGGGGAGAATGCTGAGGGCAGGACAAGGGGCTGACAGTGCCCAGCCTGGCTGGGGCTGTGCCAGGAGACCCCAGAGCCTCAGGACAAGGTGTCTCCTCCCAGCCCGTGGTGGCACAGACACTGCAGCTGTGCCCCAGGGCACCAAGACTTGGCTTCTCTTTGTCCCCACCTGTCATCACTGCCTCCAGTTCTCTGCTCTGCCTGGGGCCTGGGGACACTTTCTCATTTGTGTGCCTCAGTGGGACCCATTAAAAGTCCAAGAGAGTTTGAAGTTGGATTCTGACTTGGAGTTCTGGAGAGGTTTCTTCAGCTGCCTCTCAGGGACTGATGTTCAGGGCCTGAGCAGAAAGCCGCAGAGGCTGATTAAAGTCCTTGTGCTGTGTCTGTGCTGCTGAGCTGGGCTGGGCTCCTGGCATAGAGGCAGCTC